CTAAATGTTTTATACCAATAAATCTGTTCCTTCAAAATCCACAATATTTCCTGCTTAAAATGACCCCAGTTCAAGTACAGAGGCATTACTGCTACTCAAAGCATTATTGACAGTAGCAATAATCACCAGCTTTCTTCTGTATCCACTTGAAAAGAAAGTAAAAAATTATCTCTGAAATTATTTCAAACAGCTATTTTCTTATCAGTAACAAAAAAAAACTATTTTTTGCCATTTTAAAACAAGACTCTCCCCACGATAAATTTTTGAAAATCGTCTCAATGATAAAATATTACTTGTCATTCAAAAGCACTTCCATTTTTCGCAGAAATACACCAAAATTTCTGTATATTTTCCTTAAACAAATCCGTCACAAAGATTTCCAACTAAACTTGTCTTTTCTGCTCAAAAATTTCAAACTTATTTAAACTTCCGGGATTTTTGACAATCTTTTCAAAAACTGCAAATAACAAATTCCCAAAAGAACGTGTGGTTAACCAGAAAAAGTAGATTCTGCTACACTTGTTTTGCACAAGAATCAGTTTTTCTTTTAAAAAAAAAGTATTTCTGCAATGAAATAGTTGTAATTTGAATTGTACCACCAACACCATAATCTGCACCAAAAGCTGGGGCTTAGCTCTCTCCTCTACGTTTGGAAACCCCTACAATATATGTTTCAGTTAACTCTACTCAAATGCTGTTTATAAGATAGGATATTCCTTAACATCTGCTCCTGTCTACTACGGCATTTTCCAAACAACAATTCTCAACCAAAGCTTCAAATGTCTAATTCTCACTTGCTTCTGCTAGATGATACTTCCAAACTTCTTTTTTCGTCTGAAACTTCTCCCGCTTAAAAGTTCCACAGTTCGCTTCTCTTCAGATGTTCTTTAAATACAAGAAACACAGCCATAACTTCCAATTTATTACCAGCCCATTTTAAAAGCATATAAAGTTCTCTTTTAGCAGTACAAACTTCAATTATATTCGGCTGTTCAATTTTTTTGAGGAGATTTTACTTCCTAAATAATTTAGCCAATTGCTGACCCTCAAAGCCTAATTTATTTAGTTGTCTACAATAATTATTTTTGCAAATAAGTTAAAAAGAAAAACCTTTCTCTGTTTAGAAACCTCCAAGAATGTATTTCTTTAAACTTTGAAATAGTTTCAATCGTTATAACAAAAAAAACTTTGCATGAACTTTGCGTTTTTAGAGTCGTTCAAAAGATGCAGATATATAAAGTAGTTTTGCTTAAATAACTTTGCTTTTATTAAAATTCTGATAGTCAAAAAAGTTTTGAAATTTTTGAAAGTTAATTTTCTGCTTTACAAAAAACTCCTCTTTTTATTTTTAGCAAGCTGTCAAGTAAATTTGCTACCGTTCTGTTGTAAATAATTTTTCATTTATGTTCAAAATGCTTAACGAGATGAGTAACTTTTCAGCAACAGCAGTTTAGAGCTCAAAAAAAAAAGATCATATCAGTTTCGGTCAGAAATATCGTTAGCAAAAAGTGTTAGGTGATCCAGAAAAAAAAAAAAAAAAGCAAACAAATACGGCAATAAAAATTATGTTGATACTCCCAAAAAGGAAAAGTGAATCATAGACGGTCATAACAGATTTACAAATTTGTTATTACATAAAGTCATCCGTTTCCTCTTATTTCACCACACATCTCAGTTATAATCTGTTTATAGCATCCGTCAATACCCCACTTAGACAGAAATTATCAATGGAAAATATACTGAAAAATTTATTCCCAAGTAGTTTATAAGGTTATATATAAACTATAAAGGAAGAAATATAAACGTTAATGTTTTAAGAACTTCCTGGACCATTGATGTCACCTGACTATTTGACAGCAAATAATAAGTACTTCGAACGTTAGAAGTCGCTTTGCATAATATCGTAATAGTTGCTTTCGTCAAAAAGTAAAAAAAAAAAAAGTAAAAAAATTTTGTTTTTGTATCATACAGCTGAAAAAGTGGAAAGTCACTTTCAAGCAAAATGTCATTACAAAACGTTCATTTCAAAAAGAAAAAAAATTTATTTCTTAAAAATTACTAAAAGACTGCTGAAGAATTTATAAAAAGTACAATATGCTTATATAAAACAAATAAGACTATAAACGATTATTTAGTGAAAAATTATATCAGAATAATTCTTTCTACACTATTCTGAAAAAAAAAGAAAGAAAAGGTAAGCAATGAATTTAACAGCAGCAGGCTTTTTAAGGGGGAGGGAGGGGAGAAGGGGGGAGGGGGAGAAAAAAATTTGTCTGAGAAATTACTGGACGAGACGTCGACCAAAAAAAAGCAGCATTCTTTTGATGTCGTTCAAATTTAAAAAAAAAATCAAAACAATATTGACAGAATGTTTCTTTGTACCAAGATCAAAACACAGTCTATCAATA